ATCAAAGAACAATATTAACTATGCAAATTATTAACAATATAAATAGCCATATATAAAATAAATAAATAGCCAAAGCTATCACTTTTGTTTTCTTTGTAACAAAATACTGTTGAAAAACCAAACAGATCTAAACTCCATTGTGTAGATGCTTCAAGCATGTTGAAAATTATTTTTCAATCAAGTTCTCTTACATAGAAAAAGTAAATTAAATGGCTACTAGGGATGCTCATTTCGGTTAATTTTGCTAACCGACAACCGCCGCTCATTAATCGGTTATTAACGGTTAACTGGTCAGATTACTATAAATTTGATATTAAACAAATTGATGTGTCTATTTTGTGTCTGACACATTAAATATTGCATTTTAAAATACAGATTTTTTATATGCATATTAATAACAGAACAGAACAACAGAGCATCTTGTAGTGTTTGGCACAGAAGAGCAGAATAATCTAAATAAAATGAATAAAATAAATAGGACTGCCCTAAATTATTTTCATTTAAATAATTAATTTATATTACAAAACGAAAATACTGACTGATTCTTTTTAATAACCGGCATAGGCTGTTTTTTTTTTCCAATCATATGTTTTTTCTTCCGTCAAATAAATATCGCAGACTTCCTCAAATTGCCCGCTCCATGGAAAAAATGCATTTATTTAATGCCCCGCTGTTATTATTATAATAACAAAACTTTTTACATTTAATAGAAATCATTATTTTAAAGATTATGTCTTGCTATGGTATCCTCTCTCTCCCTCGCGGTTCAAGTGCGCGCTGCGTGATGAAAAGACAGCAACAACGCGGGCATATGTTGACTTTTTGTAAACAGTTTTGTTGTTTAAATATGATATTGCATTAATGTGCATACATGCTTTATAAGCTGTAAAATAAAAAGTAAAGCCTATTTGTTGCGTTTATGACGCAGATATAGGTCAACATCAGCGCTGGTTTGGCATCAACACGTCTGTATTAAACAGCAATATTCTTCTTTTATTTTTCTTCATTGGAAAATGTGTCTGTAGGCACGGGTTATACGTTATCATCCTGCATGTTATGCCTTGCAGTTGAACAAGGGTCCGAAAGCAAGGCGCACCTCACTGCCTTTATGTTGAAAAGGAAAAAAGAAGAGAAGAAGCGCGGCCATCTTATGAAACGACTGAATCAGCTGGGTATCGATTGTGCAAAAGTGTTGCTGTATATGTTGTTACAATTGTAATATTTAATACTATTGTGATATTCAAGATTTGTACATTCATCCAGCTCTGAATAACTTAAAACAGCGATTAGACCTTCAGAGCGGCATTAATGCTTCCTGAAGTAAAGCAAAACGGCTATAAACTCCAGCAAGATAGAGTGATTATATACAGAGCCATATACCTTTATCTATAAACAAAGTATAATTATAGAAACTGTGTTCATCTTGACTGAAAGCTTCGTCCTGTTTCCTGGCCTCACGCATCACGCACCTGTCAGTCAGCACGTAACGTTAACTCTCAAAGGGTTAAACAGAAAGCGCACAGCACGGTTACAGAAAAGTTTCCTCTGCAGAGGAGTCGGGGCATCTGGTGAAAGCCCATCCCTCTCTGCGCAGCCACATTAACAACAATGCTTTGACAGCATTGGCAATATTTCTGCCGTTGTCTGTTGTCAAGCGGGGTTACGTTGGTTTTGCTTTTGATATTCCTGACACATTCAGACGGTCCCTTACTAAGAGCTCCGTGCGAGCTCTCCCGGTTAAACACATATTGCGAGGGCTTAAACGGAGCAGTGCTCGTAATGTCGAGCGAAAAAAAAGTGTTTCCTCACGTTCTTCTTCAACTAGCTCAACTTTTGCAGGCACGCGTGACGTTATTGGAAAGGTAGTCATGGGGTGTGTCACGATTCTCCTTTATCACACCGCAACACAGGATCGTAGATCTGAGTGTCACGATTTCGATTTCATATCGTGTATCGTTACAGCCCTAATATATATATATATATATATATATATATATATATATATATATATATATATATATATATATATATATATATATATTCTTAAATATAAAGATATTTAAAATCTTTACATTTAGATTTTGTTACATTTTTCATATTGTTCAGGAGATTGTGCTTACAAACTGTCAGAACTTTCAAAAACTGTATGCCTGTATACCATATATTAGCATATATGATATAGCGCATGGAAATAATTGTAGTTTCTGCAATTTGAAAATCACACCTTTTCAAATCGTGATTTCAGTTCTAAAATAATTAATAGAGCAGGCCTAGATATGATGAAACACTTTAGCAGATCCTCAGTCATTCTCTGACTGGTTAAAATACACATAATTTTCAGGAGTCGAGTGTGCAGCAACCTTAACCAGTCCACCTGGAAACAAGTCTGAGCACATAAAAAAGCTGCAATGTTTATATTGATGACAGTGCTCATTAATTCACTTTCTGAGACATTCATGAGTCTGTGATTTACTGCCTGCACAACTGTCTGTTATTGAGAGGATAAAATGCTGGACTATTAGAAGTATGCAATACTTCATAAAAGCTACAACACTTGATGTCGACAAACACACGGGTATGCTTAGTCAAGTTTTTTTTAATGGCTGCGAAACTCCTCAAATATTCTGCTATTTTGGTTTTAATGATAAAAGAAAAACACTGTTCAAAACAGTAACGTTTTTAATCATGGATCCTCACAAAAACAATAAAATCTTGCTTTTACAGAACAAACGATACTAAAACAATATTGCCTATGATAATTTCCCAACAACAGTCAAATTATGTGTCCATCTTTTTGAATGTGTACTTGTCTACATGTGTGTAATGTGTTTATCTTAACGTATTTCCTGTCTTTCACGTATTTATTGTCTTTTATGTATTTTTTGTCATCATTGCTAATAATATATTGTTTTTAATTTTGGAGTATGTTGATGTATTTTGCACTGTCTGAAGCCAGCACCTAAGCTTATCACTCCTCATGGCACATGTGCTGCTGATGAGGTGACATAAAAGTGATTTGATTTGACAAAGAAAACTTTCACCCAGTCATCTCATCTTTATGTAGAAATGCATCACCAAAATAATGAATTAATCTCAGAACAAAGTCTATATACAGTACATGTCCTACTGATTTCTTTTATGTTTTGCTGACAGATCATTTAGAGTTTTGATGCGTTGTTGTTGTTGTTTTGTTACATTCGTGAATGAATGATGCACAGTTGCGTGTTAATCTCAGGACATTTCCACCCCAACAAACATGGTGTGGAACAAATAACGAAACATGATTGGTTGGTTAACCTGTCAGTCAAATAACATAGTGGGTAGTCTTTGATCATTCAAAGCAGCCAAAGTTCCCAGACCTTCAGCCATCAGTCTGGGGTCTGACTACACGAGACTAGGACCCCACTGACTTTCCTGATTCCAAAAAAAACATTGTCTCCCCCAATAAAAGTATCCCTAAATGTTTTATTGAGTATAGTTATTAGTTGTGGGTTCATAATGACATAAGGAAGAGTAAATAAAGACTGAACTGTATTCAGTCTCAACCTGCTTGACATCTGTGATGCAAAAATTAACCAAATCTTAAATCTTTTATAACAATGAGAAAAATGTAAATTAATACATATCTGAATGTAATATATTATTAATATAGTTATTTAATTAAATACACAATATGTATGATTTTGTCATTAAAATATTCAAAAACCACTAGAACAAATACATTTTGCTTACTACATATTTAGCTGACACTATTCCAAATGTTTCGAAGAATGTTCAATATATAATCCAGTAAAACACTAAAGAAGCTTTATTATGTTGTGTTTTATTAGACTGCATAGAGCAGCATTATAAGTAAATCCTTAAATGTATTTAGTATGATAAAACAGTGCTGCTTCTTCCCCCCATGATCATAAGTGATCATAAGCAGTAAACTTTGGCAAAACAAAAGCTCTGCTGCTTTTGTGCCACGTTGCACATGTCTCATATCAGTAACTGCTACAGTTATGTTTCAAATCCTTGTTTCACATCTATGGCTTTCAGTCTTCCTCTGCTTTGTACCATCAAATTAAATGTTGAATACTTTAGCACATCCATGAAGATTATTTCGGCAGAAGTCCCATAGGATGCAATGAAGATGACAACTCACACTCTGTTACACTGCTATAAAACTATGCTTTGTTGGTTGTGAATACACGCCATCTAGTGGTAAAAAATTACATACTGTTCATTTAATATAGACATTTTACATGTCATACATGAGAACAGAAAAAAAAGAGAATTCAAGCTATAGATTGACATGTGCACTGCTATTACAATACTTTTTGTTATACTTGAAGCATTTACAACCCCGAGACACTATTTCCTTTCAAATAATGGAAAAGAGCAGCATGAACACTCTACCAAACATCTTAAGACAGACAAAAGACATGTCATACAAATTTAGAATGACACAAGGCTGCACAAACATTAACAAGTGCTAACCAAAAGGGGTAATATCTCTTTAAGAATGATTTGAGATCTGAAAACAAGAGACAAGGGATTGTATAAGAGGTGGAGAGAAAGAGACACACAGAGGGAAACCCTCAGCCAAATGACAACACCACAGAGGTAGAGGAGGTGAAAGGGGAGGTGATGGGTTGGAAGGCTGAAGCATAAAGGTGGGATGGACAGCCTGATATCAATCAATGCTTGAGACACACTGAAAGGGAAAGCCAGTTAGAGTCTTTCTCTCACTGTGTGGCATTCATGCGCACAATCTGACATGCATGCAAAAGCACGTAGGCTAGCTTATGTGTGGACGTGATGGACGGATCTGCCAAAAACACACACACACACACACACACAAAAACACACACTCATCCTATTGCACTCTGAAAATGAAAGCCATTAACATGTCAGAGAGCCTGTGTGAGGAGGTGGAGGGAGAACACATAAACACACAAGCGCTCCTGCTGACAGTGAATTTAAAGTCATAAATAATAAAGAAAGCCCTGTCTTACCTCATTCTCCTAGGTTCTGTCTCTCCTTCCCTCTCGCTGGACACAGAGAACACTGTGTTTGAGTCACACAGATTTCATGCAGACCGTTTGATTTCACCCCCTCTGACACATTCTACACACATGACTCTCTCCCTTTCGGGCGTGCATTCAAAATAAGGTAGAGGCGTACAGACACACACACACAAACACAGACATGCATGCATGCTAGAAAACAGCACCCTTCTTTGGTTCACACACTCATGCACACATACACACGCGCGCACACACACACCACGCGCATGCTGAAGCACAGCCTCTCTCTCTCTGTCTCCTCGCTCTCAGGCAATCAGAGAGAATGTCACAAACGAAGCCACGCCCCTTTCACCCCCCTCCCCGCAGGCTTACTATAAATACAGAGATGGATATGAATATGCTGTCTTGTTCTCTTAGACTTTCCCCCTCCCGATTTGCTCCATCTCTCATTCCTAATATTCCCTCTCTGTGGCCGTGAAATGCTTCTCTTATGACCTTGCATTGTGCTCGCGGACATAAGCCCCCCTTTTCCCTGCGCGCACACACACACATACATACATATGTACAGGATTAATATGCAGTCATTAATCTATTTAATGCTCTTGCAGATGAGCTATAAAGCTGATAATAATGCCAAACCAAAGGGGACTGATTAGGTATAGCAGTATCTTGGTGATAAACAAACAATAGACGACGCGCCTGTACACACGCGCAGGCACAAAAACATACACCTGCTGTCTGTGTAATGGCCGGTCCTGTTCACACACACACACACACACACACACACACACACACACACACACACATAACGCGTTTTTCTATCCAAACATAGACTGTAGTCTGTAATTGACTGTGTCAGCGTCGATGATAAGCTTATAAACACGTCGTTATTTTCCTTTCAATTGCGCTGCGTTTTGTTTTAAAACGCAACATGTTCTGTCTGGCCGCGCGCGCAGTCATGTGTTAATGACTTTATGTGTCAGATCTACTATGCACCGGATGTACAAATACTTGTTTAAACCATTGAGTCCATTATTGTTATGCAAACAATGAGAGCAGGGTATAAAAGTTTTTAGTTCGCACTTCACAGGAAATGCTGCCCACAAAACCGCCAATTTATCCCAGCCGGCACACGACCGACCTTCAACGTTGAAATATGGTTGAAATAAGGTCAGTTGTGTTTTGAAAGTTGAAATAATGTTGATAGAACGTTTAATGTTGAATGGTTGAAAAACAGCCTGCATATGACAAGGCTTCAACGTTGAAATGTGGTTGAAAATATGTCAGTTGTTGCTTTCATGTTGAAACAATGTTAAATGATAAATGGTTGAAAAAAGTTACAGAAATCCTTGTACAAATCAACGTTGACATTTTTTATCATGATCTGTATGTTGAATTAACGTCATGGCTTCACCCAACATTCAACATGTTTGGTTACCATGGTATTGGAGGACTCCGCGCACGCGGCCACGCGCAGCGCTTCACTTCACTTAATTACGAACACCTGACCTGCAGTGCAGCAGAATTCAGAGGTAAGCGTGTTTTTAGATGCTTTAACGTTTTATTTACCCCCCGATTTTGTCAGTGTATCTTAAACGTGACTTTTGAGGTGTAGTGTTTCGAATTTTGAAGCATTTAAAACTTTCCAGTTTGTTTTTAGTCTTGTTTGCGCTCCAGTGACGCGCAGCTAACCTCGAGGTAATGTCACATGTTTAACGTTAATCTAAATGAGCGTTTTTATGGCAAATTCAAAGCGATAAACTCCAAACGCAGTTTAAAGTTACTGAGCAACGTTATAAAACAATATCCATTTTATACGCTGTATTATTAGTGTTATTATTACAAAGTTAACTGCTGTCGTTTCACTGTTGTTGTTGTTTTTGCTTTTAGACATGTAACTTACTCCAGAGACGCACTAACTTGCACAGCATTGAATGGAAAAGGCTTTGTCCATGTAAGTTTACTTTACCTTTAACTATCTGTTAAATCTTCTTGGTGCTTTGGTTGGTGATATTCTCTTTCTAATCTGTTTGTTTATTGATTGTTAGGCTATGTTGTGATATTATATTGTTATATTGATATTATTATTGTGAAATCATGTTGTGATGTTATACTATGTGACAGTATTGGGGAACAAATATGTATTTAGTGAGAAATTAATGCTTAAATTACACTTTGTATAGTAGCAGATAAAAGGTGTAATGGGTTTTAACTTTCTGAGTTTTCTGGAAGGTCCAGTTGAGGGGCATCAAGAACACGCAGATAGCCTAAACCTGTGTCAGCCTGGACAGACTGCAGTTCTGCTACTCCACACCAAGGCTTTTGTATGGATGTCTTGACTGCTACTGTGTTCTCTAAAGGTATTACTGGAGCAAAACAACAGCACCTGTTACAGTGAAATTTGTATTCAAAAAAATAGTGATACATGTGTAGCAGGTCCAGTACATGTGATGTCATTGAGAAGTTGTTTTATTAAATGTCATTAAAACAAATAAATAAACATGCTATTTAAATAAATCTAAATATTAAAAACTTGAGGATTAAGATGACAAATGAAATGCATCATCTGTCTTGCGAAAAGGGTCTACTTAAGAATTCTGGTGTTTTCCAACTGAAAGGGATAGTTCACCCAAGAATGAAAATTGACTCACATTTTACTCCCCAAATGGTTTAAAACCATTATGAGTTTATTTTGTTGAACACAAGAGGCTATTCTGAAAAAAAAACTAAAAACCTGTAAACATTGACCTCCATAGTAGAAAAAAATACTATAGAAGTCAATGGTTAAATAGATTTGCAGCTTTCTTCAAAATATCTTCTTTTGTGTTCAATGTGGTCAGTAAATGACGACAGAATACAAATTTTTAACTATCCTTTTTATTCTCTGTCCTACATGCAGACTTTTACAGAAGTGCTACTCCTTCTAGAGTTTTTCTCAACCATGTCTAAAAAGCTTTAAACAGCTTTTACAGTACATGTAATGGTTTACAACAACTTGTAATTATTAGATGTGTTGAATGTTTCATGATTCTTTACTGCAGCCTTGGTTAAAAAAAAAAAAAAAAAAAAGCAATTTTTTCGAGAATCTGAAATTTGAATTCTGGAAATGCTGGCACCGGTGGTGGCGAAGGGCTTCCTGACGACATCACACCTAATTCTTCACTTCTCTTAGTTAGGAATATTCAGATGGATGAGTCAAAATTATTGAGTGTGGCGATTTTATAGGACAAATTTGGATTCAATAAAAATAAATATTTGAATTTCACTTTGTATAATAGCTGATACCAACTTAGTTGTAACCTCGTATTTCATTTATTGCAGGTTTTCTGGAAGCTCCATTTGAGGGCATCAAGGACATACTGATGGCCTAAACCAGTGTCAGCCTAGACAGACAGACATCTATTGCAGTTCTGCTACACAAGACCAAACTCTCTGCTTTTGTATGGATGTCTGACTAGTACCGTGTTCTCTAAAGGTGTAACTGGAGCAAAACAACAGCACCCGTTACAGTGAAATTTGCATTCATAAAAGATAGTGATATATCAGGTATAGTAACAGGTCCAGTACATTTGTCATAAAGGTTAAATCACAGTAAGTACTGTAAAAATAACTTGTTTGCCTTTGCCACAACAGGTCATGGTGTGTGCATACTGCTCGTAGTAAACACACACGCTGATCTGATGCGGGAGAGATATATGCAAACACATTTGTATTTACTGTTTTGTTTTGCCTCACTAAAGTGTTGTTGGAGCTTGGTATGTTCACAGTGGAAATCACTGAAGTCACATGGAACGTTTTGACAATGTGTTTTGTGCCTTATCTTGACAATGACTATCTTGGGACCATTGCTGTCTGTAGAGGATGAGGAGCATTTAATCTAACATATTTTAGTTTGTGTTCTGAAGATTAACAAGTATCTGGGATGACACAAGTAATTAATAACAGAACCTATATGAACAGTTAATGTGACATGTAATAGTGAAATAGTGGTCCTACATTCACAAATGTGAGCCATTATTATAAGACCCATGTGAACATGCAATTTTTATGATACTAATAATAATAATGGAATAACAAATTGCTTTTACTGTTGTCTTTGTGAGAGAGAATCAAACCATATATTCTACACATTTTCTTGATGATTTACTGAAATATTTGTCTATGTTCCACTGTCACAGGTGCTCAGTTTTGCTGCAGTAATGCTAAACACAATAGATGTACTTTAAACAAAAAAAAAAAAAACAACTACTAAATATTTAGCATGTAGACCTGCAAAGTGAAGGAGTAATGTCAGGTTTAGATTATAGCATGAGTTTTCACTATTGTGAAAGTAAAGCCATTCATTTACAATGAATTGGAATAGCAAACCTCATTGTTGATTTTGTAGGAAACTCACCTGGTGTTTGAGAAATAAATGTATTTAAGTGCTAGACTGATATAGATGTTTTAGTGTTTTACACTTGATTCTTTGATTCTTTGAGGTAAAAGATTCCAGTGCCATCTTTTACCTCAAGTGTTTCTCTCAACCTATAAAACCTCAAACAGATGTAATGTATTTCACTTTCACTTATGATTCTTAGTTGTGAGTGATGTTTTTTATTTTATTTTTTTACTGCAGCCACTTTAAAAATGGGTATTTTGTAAACTTTGTAAACAGAATTGTATTTTGGAGACTGTGATGGTTGAAGCGTAGTTTAGTTACTTAGTTTAATTTAGTTAGTATCTGTCTTTCTGAAGACGGTAACACTTTACAATATGGTTGTATTAGTAAGTGTTAATGTATTTACTAACATGAACAAAGAGCAATGAAGCATCTTTCATATAAAGAAAGTACAGTTCATGTCAGCTCAGTGCATTAATGTTAACAAGCATACATTTTGATTTTAATAGCATCGGGACATATTTCAATTAATTAAATGATTAATAAATGCTGTACAAGTATTTGTTCTTTGTTCATGTTAGTAAACATTAACTTTAATTCATGAAACCTAATTAAAAAGTGACTATTTAATTGTATGCCTTTTTTCTGTATTTGAGTGTACAGCATGTATAGTAACCTGCATGGTTTTAATGAACTATGTATGCTGTAAATGTTGCTGTATATTTAGAATAAATGAAATAATGAGGTGTGTATTAAATAAATTGACACACAGACTAAGTTGTGTATTTGTGTCGTGTATTTTTTATTAGTAAAAATTTCTTTGCTATATTTATGGACTTTGCGTTGTATGTAATTTCTATTTAACTTACGTTGAAATGTATGACGGTGAAACAA